GACATTGACAATGTTTTGAATGGTTGGAAAGTCTACCTAAAAATCTAGTGTTTAGATCTAATCTATCATTAATTAATTCTAATTCTAATGATAAGCATGAAAGTTTGAACACGTACACCTTTATTGTTTTGGGCACGTTTTGTACTCGTTGAAATTAGCTCCACATAATCCTGAATAAGGAAGGTTTAGGTGAATCACATTTCATACTTGTATTTAATTAGATGATGTTCATTCTTTTCCCTATTAAGTCCGGCCCGAAATAAAATATATATCTACGATATTTGTATAAGGGTTTCGATTGTTTATTTTTTCTGCTTAACAAACAATCTTGAGTTATAATTAAATGAGGAATTTCATTCATTAATATAACGTCATTCCACAATCGATTAAAAAAATTGACTAAACATACGTCTTAAATGATGTATTAATGGGAAGAATCATTATTTATTTCCTAGTTTAATGATTTTACTGAATGATTAAGTTATGCATTCAATTAAGTTGTAAGTTTATCTCCCATGTTTAGCTAAGAGCATCCATAATGCATTCCTTTCTAGTCCAAATAAATTTTGCCAAATGTCAAATTATTAACAGACTTTCTAATAAAAATGAAACAAAGTGGAATGACTGGACAATGAAATATAGAAAAGCCTCCAATGTATGTAGTCTTGTGGCCTAATTAATTGATGAGGTGGAGTACCATAGAATCTACCTAATTAAAATAGTCGCAATAAATTAAATACTCCACTATGCCGTACATACGTAAACGGCTGCATAGCTTGTTTCACTGGGTTTGCAATTCCTTTTTACATCGACGCATTGTTTTTAATACAAATGGGTGAGTCAGCATGTCCTTCGGCCTTTCTACCCTCGGAAAGTCATGTAAACAGTGAGCAATTAATTTTGGTAAATTCTATGGTACCCATAAGGTACCATACCTTTGTCCACATGGATCAATGAGAATGTAACAGTTGAATTATTTAAATCTAAATTAAAAATGATAAAGTGATGTGGTCCAATCAAATGAATGATAAGTACGGTATCCCATATTTTAGAAAGGTACCGGAGTTGTCACCATTAATTTTTTGCCAACTCAGCAATAGACTAGATGCATTAGAGAGATTTCAAGGTGTAAAATGTAATGAGGTGGCATGTTTTAACCTACACTAAACTACATGCATTGCGGATGCTCTAATGACCCTTATAGTTTCACTTGTCACGTAACCATTTAAATAAAATTATTTTCAAAGAAAAATTTTCTCGAATTATTAGTCATTACTTTTTTTTGAGAGGTATTAATCATTACTTCTTCCACTTCATTGGTAGCATGTGTTAGCTAATTAGTTTTCTCATGCAAAAGGAAAAGTTGTACTCCAATTATAAGCTATTAGTTTAGAATTACAAGTAAGTTCTTCAAATTAATCATTATTGGAGATGCTCTAAGTAAACATGACTTAATAGATGAGTGAGTAGGTATTCCCATTGAATCGATTAAATTGAAAATAAACATCTTCTTAATCCTTGTGGAACTTCAAAATCTAATTCAAAAGAGGATTTTAGAGTTCCTCAAACGATGTCACCTTAACGTTTTAATTTGAACTATACGAAGTATAAGTTGCAGTTGCATGTCCTACGTTATTGTTTCGCTTCTCTTCAAACATAGTGAGAAGAATTTGTTTCGTCTTGAGAACTCGGAAGAACATAATCATGTTTTCTAGGAATTGAACTACCCATAATAAAATGATTGTTCAATTCGAGGGACTTCTGACCTACACAATAAGGGTCAAAGTAGATTCTTGAATGCCTAAAACTAATTTGATCACCTTCCATTTACCATCCGCTCCGATCCTCACCTTTTTCATTTTCTCATTGGTGTTCTCAAAGTTTTTTAAAGTCAAACAACATATATTAGCTTTAATTTTATATACTACGTATAATTGTCTTCTCATTGTACTTTTGTGTGTAAAAGTTGGGCTTGTTAAAGTCGAAGTTTGTTACTACGTATATTTTATCGTATAACAGTAAAGTGTAGAAAATTCTTTAAATGAAATTAAAACACAGATAGAGTATATCATATACGTAGTAGCTAGTATATGTGATCATCATCATCATTACCGTTGTATTCTTCCTAAACTAAGATTTATTCACTTTTAAATGATGAAGTTTTATGCTTTTAATAATATCATATAACTCATATTTGGAAATGAAAACCGACCGATCGAGTGCAATTTGTGATGCATTGGGTTGAAGACAAATTAAATCTAAATAGTTGGAGTGAGTTAAATATGAAAAATGAAAAACTTATTCCAATAAAATTGAAACAAAATCGAGCTACTCGATCTGATCTCAACTTCATCTCACCATTGCGTAAATCCTTCCCTTGATCAAAACATAACTACTCCTATTAAAACATGGTGTTTATATTTTACTTCTATTTAGAAAAAAGGATGACACCCCATCCCTGAGGGCCCCCCAACACCGACCGGACGGCACGATGAGAGGATGTAAATTGGACTATAATCACAATCTGACAGATAGAGAGTGAGGCTCTGTCCCCGGTACTTGCAAAGGTCCTATGCATTTTTCAACAAAGTAACCCTTCATCGCAGTTGGTGGGATTCGAACCCGAGACCTAACCCTTGTGACACTCCCTTTCTATTTAGAGTAATTTTGAATAGTATTCCATATTATACATCGGTTATTTTGATGATTTGCGAAATTTATTTCTCTGGGGTTATCCGGCCTGTGGAAAATGTTACGTTGGTTCATTATATTATATCCCGTATAATAATACATACGTAGACCAATTAATTCTTTTTAAAAGGGACGATAGTGGTAAATAAATACGGAGTAATAAGTAATAACCATAACAACAATAAATTAAAGTTTCTTAATTTAATTTTCTCATACGACATTTATTTTTGATTTTTTGTAGCTCATGATCATATATACATGTGTCATGGATAGGGGTGGGGAAAAATACTGAAATTTCGGTATACCGGACTTACCATATCGAAAAATACCGAATTTACTGAAATATTTGGTATACCGAAGCTCTTGGTACGGTATGATACCGTACCGAATTACTTCGGTATGGTATCGGTATATATTTTGGAAACAAACGGTATACTGATATACCGTCATACCGTAATTCCAAGTCAATAATTTCCTTAAAATTGTAAAAATAACTAGAAACACAACACTAATTCAAGGGTAAATGACTTTATACCCATGTTTCTTGAATTATTTATACTTTTTGTTGGAGATCGGTGTTATTTTAGTTATATATATGTTGTTTAAATTATTTTAGCAGAATGTGTTGTTATCTTCATATATCATGTGTTGAAATATCTATACATATTTATAATATTTTTTGTCAAAAGTTGAATAGAACACAAATAGGTTATCTCATTGGTATTTTATAATTAATTTCATTAATGATTTTAGTATATCACTATTAACACTGATTTTCTTTATTTCATTTGACATATAATAATTTGTTATATTAAATCATGGTAATTTACCGATACCGTACCTTACCGTACCGAAATTTCGGTATGGTAACGGTATGTATTTTTGCATATCGAAAGTTTACGGTATGGTAAAGGTATGCGATAAAATATTCGGTATACCGTACCGAATCATCCATGCTCATAGAGCTAGCTTGTATCATACTTTTGTTTTGCCAGTCAGAGGAAATGATTATTGTATTCGTATAAAAAAACAAATAGGGATACAGTGATCGAACAGAACGATCCATAATACTCCGTATATGAATTTACTCTCGTCCAACCTCAAAAGAAATGAGTTATTTCTTCAAAGAATGATACATTACCGCCAGCTTTTTATTATTCAAAACACTTTTTAATTAAAAGGATAATGTTTTGAAATAAACAAGGAAACGATAAGGTAATGTGGTCGACTCCACGACAAAACAAATTAATTGATCGAAACAAAACATCGTCTGTTCATCACTTTTAATTGATCGATCAGCAACATAAGAATACTCCTTTTACAGTCTCACGACTCTCACCAAACAAGTAATAAACACTCGGGGATGCTAAGTTGATCAAGTGGTTGAGAATTGATATTTGAATCAATAGACCAAAGTTCAATTCGAATCCCCGCAACGATTAGGTGAAGGTTACAGAACCTGAAATAAGGCTGGATTTGAGGCTCCTATGACTAGGTCACCATGACTTACTTATTCACCATCCTGTCGGATCCGGATTTGGGGCTCCTGGGTGAGAGATTCCACCTTTTTTGATCACCAAACAAGTAATAATAATAATATGCTTATCCCAATTCCCAACTTGCCATTTTTATACTACGTATACTAAAAGTTAGTGCTAAAGATTGCTCACTTATCCTTTCAAAAACCAAACTTGCCCACCTATTTGTATGGGTCATAAATTGTAAATAGTACTACCGTTACTACGTAATTTTCTTTATTGATGTTTACGGATTGATGAAACACATGAATTTATGTTTTTCTGCATTAATTACCATATAGTTTTCCCATGTACTTATATTTATTATAGTATTGACTTTGACAACATAGTTTCACGGGGCGATTGACCTCAATATTGGTTCAAAAGAAATCTAGATTCATGATTGATGAAGAAACGACTACAATCCTCCTATGAGCACACAAGAGCATCCAAATGATGATGAAGGAGAATATACATCTGGCAAACGACATTCCGTCATCACAAATAGCACCACTAGACAATGCTAGAATATAAATGCATATATAGTATTGAAACTATTGATTAAACAAATCATTTTTCATAATTAGGATAAATAAAGATTGAAAGGAAAAGAAAAGAAGAGGCGGCGGTTAGGGTTCCTCCATCGCTGCTCCTCTCTATGCGTTCTAATTTTTATTTTTTCAAAATCAAATCTAGTTTATATTTATGAATTTATCCATTGTACATTGATACTTAGTATATATGACTTTATTCTCACTAAAATTGTCTATCTTTCTTTTTTGATCTGTCCTATTAAGATATTGTAATACTCCCTCGTCCCAGAATTAACTTCGGTTTTGACTGGGCACGAAGATTAAGAAAGTGAGAAATATGTAGTGGAGAGTTGTGCAGAGGAGAGAGAAATGTGTAAGAATGGTTGTGAACCATAAATCCTTTGCTAAAAAGGGAAAGAAGAGATAAATTTGAGACGGACCAAAAAGGAAAGAATGAAGATAATTATTGGACGGGGAGTACAAAGTATCAAATTTAGTAAAATTTGAATGGTTCTAAATCATTCAAAAAAAAGTGTATTTAGTTCATTCTTTCTAGACTAAAGTATATCAGAATTTCTTTTTTATTTAAAATGAAGGTTGCTTCCTTTCTGGCGCTGTGAAGCCCGTGTGAACCATCCTTTCAAAATTTTCAACCATTGCTGTGCACACCTCTTTATAATCCCACCCCACTCCCCGCCCTTCTTCTCACTACTCTCTCCATCTTTTCTTCTCTTCTTCTTTCCCTTCAACTCAACCTTTCTCTGCAAAAAGTAAGCTCAAATGGCCTCCCCTGATGATACCTCTGCTCTCGACCTCATCAGGCACCACCTTCTTAACGATTCTCTGTTCCTTGAACATTACCCAGAATTCCGATTTCAATCGGAGCCGCAGGTTGTCTCCAGCCCGACCAATAAGAGGTTCTGTGAGAGGAAACCCAGTTTGAATATCGAGATTCCCAGATCTCCGGCGAAGAAATTGGTGGAGGGGAAGGGAAAGCAAGCGCCGGAGGTTCAAGAATCCGGCGAAATCAAGAGGCACTACAGGGGCGTGAGGATGCGTCCCTGGGGGAAGTTCGCGGCGGAGATCCGCGACCCGAACCGGAAGGGAACCCGGATTTGGCTTGGGACCTTCGACACCGCCGTGGGCGCCGCGATGGCTTACGACCGGGCGGCCTTCAATCTGAGGGGCAGCAAAGCTATACTTAACTTCCCGCTTGATGTTGAGAATTTCCGGCCGGGGAAGGACTCTCAGCCGCCGGCGTTGGAATCTGGCCGTAAAAGGGAGAGAGAATCTCACGCCGGGGAGGATGTATCGGTGTTTAAGGAGGTAAAAAGAGAAGTGGTGGAAGAATCATCTAATAAGACGGAGGAGGGAAGTCAAGTCCCGGCACCGGCCGCAGCCGCAGCAGCGGCGGGTCCTTTAACGCCGTCAAGTTGGATGGCGGTATGGGATTGTGGAGAACCGAAGGGTATATTTGAGATTCCACAATTGTCGCCTTTGCCATTGTCACCAAGTTTATATAATTTTTATAGTGGAATAATTAAAGTTTAAGCACTATAGTTTGAAAAGCCTTTGGGGGAAGAACAATCTTTCTGTGAACACAAAAATGGAGAATTTAGGCAGTTGGAGATGGTTCTGCCAAATCTCTTCAATCTTTTATTTTAGCATGAATTATTCAATATAATGTAAATATATGTAAGATACACTTATACATATACACCCAAGATATATGAATTTGTTACATTTTGTACTAATATGTATTTAAAGTTCATCATCATCTTCTGAATCTACCATCCTTTGTCGTGTACCATAAGTACTCGTATATTATAGCCAAAATAAAATACAAGACTATTGGGTATTCAAAACACCATTGAAACTGTCTAAATAAAATGAACCTAGCAAAGTCCAACCAGTCCGATTGTATGTGTGGATTTAAACTCTTGATTTGTTGGGAATAATATTGAAGTCATAAGTTACCATCACCTTCAAATGAGAATAAGTGAATAACACCGAATTGGCTAATTATTTTCAGCTTCAACCAAACATTTACCATCAGAATTCAGAAATCACAATATAACCGCTACCTAGGCTACTCCTAGAAAATTGGCTAAATATTTTGAAGCGCCACGTTAACATAGTTACGTAGGATGGCTTATTAGCTTGCCGAGGTTCTAGTGATGGCATGCGATTTTTTTTATAAGATACGTTTATATTATATGCATCCTTAAAACAATTGATTATGTTTGGATTTGTGTTTACTCGTTTTCACATTTGTAACACATGAAAAGTTTTTGATAGTTTGGCTTAGGAGATGGGGGTGTCACATAGGAAACATTCAGAGTTAAGTATACGGGAAGAAACAAGAGAAATTGTGAGTCATGAATGATGATGTATACAAGTTTATTACAAGAAAGAATGAGATATAAAAGTTGTTTGTTGGTTCGTCCTTTTCGACAAACTTTTCAATTAGTCGGTCAATGGATATGAGGGACTACAAATGATGGTGTTAGTAGGTTAGACGGTTAATCCTTTACAAGTCATGTTCTCTACAATCAAAAGGAGGTGCTGACGCTAATATGACTGACACACGATATGAAAAACATGAAACACATGCAAAGTTATCGTTAAGAGTTTATAGTGTTGGGTTCCCTCCTTAATTGAGAATTAATTGAAAAGTTAATGAGAATTCTAGAATACCGCAGATATGTCTCGAATTCTCTAGATGTGTGTAGAAACGTATTGAATGTTCTAAAATATTCTAGAACTTTCTAGAGAGACGTGGAATTATCTAGAAGTGTGTGGAAGAGTGTAGAACATTCTAGAACATTGTGGAATTTTCTAGAGAAGTGTGGAATTCTCTAGAATCTTGCAGAAGTGTGTAGAAGCCTCTAGAACATTCTGGAGCAGTGTGGAGTTCTCTAGATCCTTCTAAGAGATTAAAGAAGCTTGTGGATACTTCTTAGAAGAATCTAGAAGTGTAGTGATGTATAGAAAGTTCCAGAGAAGCTTTGAGGAGAATAGTATAAATAGAGGGTGAGACTCCTCATTCTTGTGAGAGAACTTTGAGAGAGCCATGAGGAGGCATTGAGAGAGAAACATGTGAGTGAGGGCCTAGAGAGTAGGGTTGTATACGAACCGAATCGAGTCGAATAATGAGATTTTGTATTTGTATTTGTTTAATTTTTTCGAATACGAATTCCAATTCAAATATGTAACGAATATTAATTTCGATTTGTATTTGTATTTTAATAACAACACGAATAGTTAACGAATTATATACGAATATCGAATCGATTTGAGCATAGGTTAAATATTAGTCAAATACGGAGTATCACTTTAAAATAACTTTTCTTATACTCCGTATTGTTTATGTTGTAAATGCATGTTATGACTTAATATGTGTTTTTAAAATTTAAATTTAATGGATCAATGCAATTTTAGATGGTGCACAATATACTAAAGTGAATTAATTTTATGATTAATAAATATAAATCTATTTCAAACCTTTTGAAATAAACACTAACACACACATATCAGAAATTATACTTATAATGTGTGAAATAAGTTCATAATTGTATATATTAAAGTCAAACAACTCTAATTTTATTCTTCAAATCAAATACATAATTATTTGTATTGTATTTGAAAAACACTTGAACCAAAAAATTTATTTGTATTTGTATTTATATTCTTTTTTATTACAAATAGGCTTGAAATCAGTATGCAAAAATGTATATATGGGCTACACTTTGAGGGTATTATTGCTATCTTTTAAAAGTTATTATAGTGTTATTACTATTAGTATTAATAATGATATTAATATTACCATTATTATTAATCGAATATATTTGATTAATATTCGAATCGAATACACTGATATTCTTATTTGTATTTGATAACAGCTCGAATCAAATTTAATATTCTTATTTGTATTTGTATTTGCATTTGAATTTTCCAAATTCGAATCGTCTTATACGAATTCGAATCGCGAATCGAGCACAAATTATTTGATTCGTTTACAACCCTACTAGAGAGAGAGAGTCTCCTTGAGGGATGTAAAAGAGGAGCCTCAAGGAGAGCTCTTGAGTGAGGGAGAGCCTCCTTGAGATAGAAGAGTGAGAGTGAAGTAGTCCCATATGAAAAGAGTGATGTGAGCTACCCGTTTACTGGTAAAATATTTCTTGTATATTTCAATTGTATAATACAAAGTGATATTGTTAGATTGAATTTTTGTGTTATGAGTGGGTGGGTGAATTTACAAGAATTTTTTGAGTTTGTGATCCTTGAAGAGGTCGGGGTGTCTGTTTCCCCAACATATAAAAGTAATGATAGAAGGACAAATAGCAAACCTATATTTAGATTTGAGAGTGATTTCACTAAATTCAAACATACGCTTATCCTTGCTCAATAGATGTCAAATTAAACTACACAAGTGATTTGATGGAGTATATGGCCCAGGAACCCCCGGCCCATAGACTCCTACTTCTCCTACACAAGTCCATTGAGCTCGGGGAACAACTCAGGCCCAAATACAACGGCCCAAGCCTCAAAGTAGCCCAGGATACACACTGGGGTGCCTTCGGCCTCCTTGGCCGAAGGCTCCAGAAACTCACAAAGTAGCCCTCTCTGACATACGAAGCTACTGGGAGAAAACGGCGAAAAACATGAGCCTTCGGCATTACCAAGCCCTCGGCATTAGCGAAACCTTCGGCTGAACTGAGCCCTCTGTCACTCGGGCCTTCGGCTACACAGGGGTCCTTGGCTACATGGAGCCCTCGGCCACACAAGGAGCCTTCGGCCAAACACTCTCATTCATCGAAGATTCCTTTTAGAGACAGCCAATCACCACATTTAATGCCACGTCGCATCCGCCAACCGCATTCAATGCGGTGAACGTACCACTGCCGGTGCCACCCGGTTGATGTGACCTTTCGGCCGTTGGATTGCTGACACGTGTACTCCCATCGCATTTATTGCTGCTATAAATAGCAGCCCATTTCTCCTTGTAATCCACATCATCTACATCCCCAACTCCCATACGCTGAGTTCATTTAATAAAATCGACTCTCTCTCCTCCGATTTACTCTGACTTCTCTCTAGTTATTCCCGCAATAACCCCTCGGATAGGATACCCCCCGGGTGGATTGTCCATCATTTGGTGCTCTCGTTGAGAGGTCTGAACTATCAAGTAAGAAACCCTCCCCTTCTATCAAATATAAAACGCTTACCAAAAATGGGAAGAACCACTCGTGCCCAATCCAAAACCCTAGAAGAGAACCACGTAGCCCCCGGCGAAACCAACGGGGCTGAGGCCTCCAACAGGCTCTTGGTACCCGAGGGTGGTATCATCCTCGAATTGGAGCAGGCTACTGCTGACCTCCGGCAGCAGCTACAGAAGAACGCCCATGATGCCCGCATTGGCCTTGATAATCGAAGGAGGGATCGGAGTGAGAACCAAGTTCCCCCTCCGGCCCCGACCATCGATCTTCAGGCTGCCTTTGCGGCCTTTGTTCAAAACATGGCTCTCAACTCAGGAGCCCTCGCCTCCCAGACGCCCCTTCAGCCCCACGCTGGAGGGAATGTTATCCAACTGCCACCACTCCCTCCTTTGTTCAACAGTCCTCCCCCGGGGATTGGCAATGCCGAGGGGGTCATAGCGCAGGATACCGCCTCCCAAGAGGCCCAATCCAGGGACAAGCGCCCCATGATGAAAGAGAGACCCCGAACCTCTGTACTTGAAAGGCTTGGGGGAGCTCCCGGGCACCGAGGGGTCCAAGACCGCCTCGGGAAACAAGCATTCAGCAGGCCCCAGGAGAGTGGAGCCTCTGCTTCGGGCGCCGAGGGCGTGCCTCCCCCCCGAAGCAAAGGCAAAGCCCTCCTCCATGCCGACGACGCCAGGCACCAGATCAATCAGGCGCAATCCTTCCGTGCCAACTCCCAAGGGGTTGCCCCGAAGGATCCTAAGGACGAAATCATCGAAGCCCTCCTCCGTCAACTTGAGGAGAATCGTCAGGCTCCTCCGACGGCTTCCACGGCAAGGCCAGACCCAGAGTACGCTGACCTCCGGGCGCAAGTGGAGGAAATGAAGCGTAAGCTCGCCGAAGGCTCCGGCGAGCCCCTCATTCAGCTCCGCACTAGGACGCCTTTCACCCCAAGGGTGCTGGCGGCCAAAATCCCCCACAAGTATCGCGGGCAACCCATCAAACCGTATGAGGGGAAGACAGATCCCCAAGAGCACTATAGCCGCTATCAAAATAGCATGATGATGATGGGGGCCTCGGATGAATACTTATGTCGTTGGTTCCTTTCCACCTTGGAGGGGCCCGCGTATGAGTGGTTCAACCGATTGCCCGAAGGCAGCATCGATTCTTGGCAAGAACTTGCCCACCGCTTCCTTACACAATTTGCTGGGAGGCATCGCTCAAAGAAGCACTTCTCCCACCTTCTGAACGTGAGACAACAGAAGGAGGAAACCCTTCGGAGTTTCTTAGAACGCTGGAGGCAGGCCTCCCTCGAGGTCGAAGGCGCCGATGACAGAACCTTGATGGCCCTCTTCCACACCGTCCTCCGCAACGGTAACTTCTCCAGGAGTCTCATCACTGACCCCCCCCCCCCCCCCGCGATTATACCAAGGCCCTTCAGCGGGGGGATCGATACGCTGAAGCGGAAGAAATTGAGAAGGACCGCCGCAATACGGATCCTTCTCAGAAGAATGAAGGCAGGAATCGGCCCGGAGGGCCTCCCCCTCCGACCAACCGAGAGCCACAGTACAACGATCGCTCCCGAGGTGGCCAAGCCAGACCCGGGGGCGGTTACAAGAATAATCCGAAGGCATGGGCGCAACCCG